TACTATGTAGCCTGACAACCAACCTGAGCTTTGCTTCTTAATGTACACCCACTACTACTACGCTACTGCTACTACTACTACTATACTACTACTAACTACTACTGCTACTACTGCTACTACTACACCACCCCTCCAACTACTACTACAACTACTACTACTATTACTACTATTATTACTACTACTACTGCTGGTGCTACTGCTGGTGCTGCTGATAGTGCTGATGCTGCTACTAGTGTTACTGGTGCTGCTGCTGCTGCTACTAGTGTTACTGGTGCTGCTGGTGCTGCTGCTACTAGTGCTACTGGTGCTGCTACTAGTGTTACTGGTGTTGCTGGTGCTGCTGCTGGTGCTGCTGCTGCTGCTACTAGTGCTACTGGTGCTGCTACTAGGGCTACTGGTGCTGCTGATGCTGCTGCTGGTGCTGCTGTTGCTGCTACTAGTGCTGCTGCTGGTGCTGCTGCTGGTGCTGCTGCTGCTGGTGCTGCTACTAGTGCTACTGGTGCTGCTGCTGGTGGTGCTGCTACTAGTGCTACTGGTGCTGCTGCTGGTACTGGTGCTGCTACTAGTGCTACTGGTGCTGCTGGTGCTGCTGCTGCTACTAGTGCTAATGGTGCTGCTGCTGCTACTAGTGTTACTGGTGCTGCTGGTGCTGCTGCTGCTGGTGCTGCTACTAGTGCTACTAGTGCTACTGGTGCTGCTGCTGGTACTGGTGCTGCTGGTGCTGCTACTAGTGCTACTGGTGCTGCTGGTGCTGCTGCTGCTACTAGTGCTAATGGTGCTGCTGCTGCTACTAGTGTTACTGGTGCTGCTGGTGCTGCTAGTGCTACTGGTGCTGCTACTAGTGCTACTGGTGCTGCTGCTGGTGCTGCTGCTGCTGCTGCTGCTGCTACTAGTGCTACTGGTGCTGCTACTAGTACTACTGGTGCTGCTGCTGCTACTAGTGTTACTGGTGCTGCTGGTGCTGCTAGTGCTACTGGTGCTGCTACTAGTACTACTGGTGCTGCTGGTGCTGCTGCTAGTGCTACTGGTGCTGCTACTAGTGCTACTGGTGCTGCTGCTGCTACTAGCGTTACTGGTGCTGCTGGTGCTGCTAGTGCTACTGGTGCTGCTACTAGTGCTACTGGTGCTGCTGGTGCTGGTGCTGCTGCTGCTGCTACTAGTGCTACTGGTACTGCTACTAGTGCTACTGGTGCTGCTGGTGCTGCTGCTGCTGATGCTGCTACTAGTGCTACTGGTGCTGCTACTAGTGCTACTGGTGCTGCTGGTGCTGCTGCTACTAGTGCTACTGGTGCTGCTACTAGTACTACTAGTACTACTGGTGCTGCTGCTGCTGGTACTGGTGGTGGTGGTGGTGCTGATACTGCTGCTGCTGCTTGCTGCTGCTGCTGCTCACTCTACAGCTCAGTATTGAAGAATGGAGCACTGCAGCAGGTCTACTGGCCCATACTGGGCAGGTCTAACTCATTCCCACGCACATCCACTCATGTACCACACGAATATTTCGGAATCATAACTCAATATTATAAGGTAATTATCAACAAAATAAAAGCAGCGTTCTGCAACTCCGATGACCAAAAGCTTCATCGACGGGTCATTATACGACTAACACCCCCGTCTGGAAACACTTGTCCTGTTTCCTGACAAATCTTACCTAATCTAAAGGTATTAAACTAGTTGATGCTAAACAGTTCACTCTAAGGCAGCTCAGAGTTTATGGACACCTGTGACTGATGCTACCCAAGTCAACATGAATTTAGAGTAGGAAGATCAAGCGTAGCACAACCACTAGATCATTATGACAAAATTACAGAGGTTTACGAAGAAAATCAAAGCACATATGTGGTGTACAGAGACAAAGGTCTTTGACAACTGCGATCATGGAATGATAACCTGTAAATAAGGTCAATAGGTATAACACAAAACGTACGAAAATATTAAAATATCTTGCAAATAGTGTGTTAGGTAAGAGACGTGAGTAGCAGTTAGTTATCTTTATTTCGAAACGTTTCGCCTACACAGTAGACTTCTTCAGTCGAGTACATTAAAGTTGGTAGAAGTAGAAGAAATTTTGCGTATGTGTCTTACCTAACAACCTGTTGGTATTTTATACCATTTTAATATTCACTTATCTTACAGATAGACTACAAAGAGAAGTAGTAACCAAATCAAATCTAGCCTTAGCAAAGTAAAAAGTTCAGTACTTCAGAGCACCTTTACTGTTTCTCTCACATCAGGGAGATAAAAACCCTGGCCACAGCTTTGTGTCATCCCATGCGGACGATACCAAAAAAGTGAGAATGAAAGTCGCTTTGATAGAAGACACGGTAAAATCGTAAGCACATATTAACAAAGTTTTCCACTAGGAACTCTAGAAACATGACTGAAGTTTTGTAGACAGGGAAAGTTTTCTGTACATTATCCAGTTCTGCTATTTCATCTGGTTTAAAAGGAGCCGGTAGTGTGCAGCAATTTTTACTACACAAGTGACTTGAAGAGAATCATCATTGGTTTGGCATCTCTTGTTTTGAATGATCTAATTATCTAACCTCTCAGTTTATTTGCATTTGTAGTAGCAACACCGTTGTAAGTCTTGAAAGTAAGATCTAACATTATCACTCATCGATCCCTCATATTCCTCTTCTGCTCTATCAGGTGCTTTCAGTTTCTTTTATACTCCATTCCAGTTTCCAGATTTCAATTTTCTTTAATGGTCCAAGTCTGACCGAAACGTCGTTATAACTTTCTTCCTCCTACGTACGGGTTATTTGTGTATCATATCGTCTTCTCTGTCCCGCTAGAAACTCTCTTCATATCAGACTAGAGATCCGTTGTATCCTCAATGGATGCTACTCTAATATAATTTCAAATATCGTCTGTAAATGATACGGTATTATGATTTATGTCTCTTGTCTATGTTGGATATGAGAATAAGAAACAAAACTGGGGCGAGTACTGTGCCTTGAGGACCAGAACTTTTCTCTGTGGCAGCCTCTAATGTTACTGTGTATAAAATTACTTTTTTGCGTCCGATACGTTAGAAAAATTCAAAACTAATTTGACCAATTTTTCAATTATTCCTTTTGTACGCAATATTAATACTGTTACACAATGATTACACTTACCGAAGACCTGCAAAGTCTGTGTGTACATCTACAGTTGACTTAAGAAATCGTAATGACACGATTGCAAACAAACCAGACAGTTGGTCTTCCAGTGGTCCAAGACCATAAGTCAGGCTACCCTGGGTTGCCTAACTGTTATATAATGTGTTTTGCAGTTTTGCTTTCTTAAAACTTTTTGTAAGATTGTGATAAAGTGAGATCTTGGCTCGATTGGTTTACTGTTGTTGTTTTTTTGTCAACAGCGTTGCTACCAACCTTAGTGGAGTGAGGCTGCGATGTCTC